TAATACCAGCAACACACGGGATTAATGCTGCCCTGATATATTCACTCAGCAACGATACCATAAGCACTTCTGAGGGGGAGGCACGACTTTTTCTCCTGACCTACCCCGAAGGGACCTCCGACCCGCTCCGACCTATTCTACTACCCGCTTTTAAATTACACTCGGCCACGGCCGCACCTATCTCTTTTTATGTCGTTACGAGGAGAGAGAGCCCAGCGCAAACGGAGAGGGGTCTTTTCAAGGACCCCCCACGAATACGGTTTCAATAACGGCACGCGACCGCACGCGACTCGAGGAATCAACGAAGCCACGCGACCAGTCGAGCCCATTGTTGGTTAGAGGGGTGGTAGGTATACCCTGCGGGCGGGGATACTATAAGTGTATGGTAACTTCTAGCATATGAATTCATTGGGCGTGTTGGAGAAGAACCTGTTTCCAATGAATGTTCAACTTGTTATTGTTTATTATTATTATCATCATTAGCATTATCATCATTGACATATTATTATTCTGATTTGTTTATCATCTTTTTATTATTATTAGGCCTATTTATCACTATTATTGTTTATTATTATTATTATCATCATTATTATTATTACTATTATTATTATTTATCATCCTCATTGCTATTATCATTATTATCATTATTATTATCATCATTATTAGAATGCTATGACAATGATGATGAATGTTGATAATGATGTGAGTATGTTACAAAATCATCAGAGACGCAAACAGATATAGGAAGAGGATAATGCCTTTTAACCATTAGTAAAATGAAATGAAGGCTATACACTTTCTATTTATGATTCCAGTGATATTAGCCTATATTAGATTTTGTGAAATAACCTCTTGAACCCTAAATATTCAAAGGGTCCAATATAGGTATAAATCAGTGGCATGATCAGACTTGGGCTTGGCCTCAGGAGGGGTGGGGGGGGGGGGGGATGTCAGCTTTCTGCGATTCAGCGAGAAACATAATGGCAACGACTTTGACAAATCTACCCCGGGCAAAAGCAATAGCCTTGTCTATCAACCGAAAGTGTCAACATTACATATCGCATTACTAATCTAAACCTGATTGTAAGGGGTGTACAATCAGGTATTAAAATTGCCCTGGGTTGATTTTTTCTCGAAAGGCTTTGCGATTGTGTTTAGTTCAGTAGGAACCAATTTGCGATGGCGCTGGTTCCTGTTAACGAGGGGGTGGGGGAGTGGGTGTCATGAATCAGAAGTAAATGTCGAACAAGATTGGACGTGAATCTATTTTCGTCATAAAACAAAGACACAATTAGATACAACAACAACAACACCAATGACTAGAGGATACTAGATAACCCGAAAGTGAAAGATTTTTTTGAATGGTCAGCTTGCATGAATAACACTTAATAGAGCCGGGGCAATTCACGGATATGGAGGTGCGGATCGTGCCGCCCCTGGTATCTTGGTGGTTTTAAAAAAGAAAACTATGCAGATCTGTATTCTCGTCTCAATTTATCTAATCAAGAAGATTGAGGAATTAAACTATATGTCATGCAGAGAAAGTTGGATTTTGATAAAGGTGAACATATTACGAGCCGACCTCTTATCCCATATTCTACATGAATTGTGTTTTATTAGTTTGTGAATATTATAGTCGCTGTTGTATATGGAATGCGCCCTGGCCGGTCATTCGTCCAACACTGAAATAAATGTGTGGTAACCTTTTTGAGTTTGCTTTACTGTGAATTTCAGCAAGACTGTATGTCAGGTGAAGACAACAATATCAAGGAATATTATAAACCATAACCCTTTAAAGTCGTTTAGTTTTACGGTAGGTCTATATACTGGGTGTTAGTCAACCTTTCTCAATAACTTTTGAAGAATTTATTTTACAACCGACGCTATTCGATCAATTTTATTGCAACTTTATCTTCAATTGTCAGATAAACAACGTGAATCACATTATTACTGTACGTCATTTCTTCTCCTATTTCTTCTTCTTCTTCTTCTCTTCTTTTCTTCTTCATCATCTTCTCCTTTTTCCTATTCTTATTTCTTTTCCTTCTTCTTGATCTTGTTCTTTTGTTCTTCTTTTTGTTCTTCTTTTTGTTCTTATTCTTCTTCAACATCTTCTCCTTCTTCATATTATTCTTCTTGTATTTTCCTTCTTCTTGTTCTTGTTATTTTTTTTTTATTATTCTTCTTCTTTTGAAACGGAGGGGGGGGGGTAGCCTTTATCCCTCATGTTAGAAAAAAACATAAACAATCAAAAGCGATAAATCCCACTCTTACTCTTTCTCTCCCTCTTTCTTTCCGTTCAAACTTTTTTTTTAAAGGGAAATTATAAACCTTCGTCTAGTTAACAATTTACTAGTCAACCATACGTGGAGTAGGGTTCGTTCATCAAAATTAATGTTTGAACATGAACTTTGCTCGTGAACTATTAATATATTGTTTTTTTATTTCCTGGCATAATCATAATCAGAAACTAACGAGCTTCCAAAATACCAGGAATTGTTTCGAGAAGAGAACTTTTGTTCATCAGAAAAGAATCGTTGCCGATTTCCTTTTTCGCAAACAGAAACTAAACACCTCTGAACATCTCACTCATATACGAACATAAAGTTTTCCTCTTTCAAAAAGGGGAAATTTTCAAGTGCTCGCCTCTCCCTTTACAGCGACGAAATGCACCTCCCTTCTGCGCGTGCGCTCAACTAGAGGGGCCTGCCGTGCCGTGCTTGCGCCGTAAAAAACAAAGGCTTTGTCTACGTGTAATAAATACAGTGTAGAAAGGCTTGGCCCCACTGAGCCCACTCTATTGGCCTTCATGTACCCGTGCCACACTTATTGGCACACGACTGGCACGCGAATGCACTCCCATAACTCAACTGCATGCTATCAAGACTTGTGTATTCGTGTGTATGCGTGAGAATCCCTATCCAGTATTGTTTTGTTAGAAGCGGCGGGCACAGCGTTGCACCCAATACATCAACACAAGGGTTAACGGAGTAAAGGAAAGAGATAAGAAAGAGAGGAACGAGAAAAAACAGATTCCACCGCCCCAAAAAGTTGCAATCGCCTCCATGAAACAGTGAGGATTCAGACTTCATTTTGAAATTGCAGAAAGTTGGATCAAGATTGTTTGGTGACTTCCCGACACTCCCAGGGAATCCTGCAAACGTGGAAAACATCTATCCAGAAATACTTGCTGCCCGATCGATTTCGGTTTTCTTTACAGGGGTGTGTTGAACATATTGGAATACAGAGAGAGCAGGCGAGCAGAGATCGTAAGCGGTACACACGCATACACCCCAGTGCGGGGAGTGCAGCGGGCCAACCATAGGAGCAAGCTGGCTTCGGCGACGATGTGGAAAAGGGACTGCGGAGAAAGACGCCCCGAACTGAGGTACCGTATCGTATTAGCTCTAGAATAATTTTGTGACGTAGTGAATAGGAGATGTGCTCATCATGTTGGGGGCTGCCGAGTCGTCAGCTCCCTGTAATGATCACGACAAGTTTGTTGTCAGCGGCGCTAGGAAACTATGATATGATTTTAGCTTGCTAAAACTGAGTGAGATGTTTTCACTGCGCAAGTACTGCTCGAGCAGTCATTCGTTAAATTAATTGCATTTCATTCACTCATCTTATAGCGTGGATTTCCCTTTTCATAATCACAATCACTATTCATCCACAGTCTTTGACCACGCTGCATCATGTGTTGCATTTACAGCATGAATTTTGCGAGTTCGCCACATCTTATCTGAATAATCAAACAATACTTGATAAATAGAATCTGTTCTTAGTTCGGTAGCTATCTCGTCCTCAATACACATTCCAGATACGTTGAGTCTCAGTTTTCAAGTTAAAATGATAAATGTAAGCCAGATTGTATCCTCATTATGCCTTCTAATTCCCCGGTCTAATTCTAACTGGTAATCTTCCAAGATATATATAGACCCTAGATCTAGGACTGGTCTAGGTCGATCTAAGTTAGGTCCCATAATGTAGTCTAGAGAGATCAAGTTGGTAATATTTCGAGTACGTTTAGGTGTAGGTCTAGCTAATATTAGAGCACCACCTAAAGCCAGACTAGACACGGACAGTATTCATTCATTTTACACCAGACACCGAAGTGTCTGAGACATGCATGTTACTGTTACTGTTAGACAAGAGCTCAGACAGAAATCCCACCTCCTTAGTTAAGGTACCGACATTTATCACGCTTAGC